ACGTATAAAATGTCTATGGTAATGCTAAGGCGTGCACCACAGTACCCTGTATTTCTATTAGCTCTGTGCGAACTGCTGTGGAACGCCGGTTGAAGAGCTGATGAAAACAGTTGAAATCAAGGAAACAACACAAACTAAACTTTGAAGTAATCCTGAGCAGCCAAATTTATTGCATATGTAGGGGCAATCTTGTTACACTGTTCAGGAGAGTCGCAACAACTATCCCAAAGTACAGTTTTCTTAGAGTTTTTGGCCTTTGTTTTCACTGTGATGTTCCAGGTGGTAAAAAATACACGAATGTCTGTCTGAGAATAAGTGTGTTATTTGTGGCTGTGAATAAGTATTGTAAACATACAGATTTATGTTTTATTTAGCAACATGGTTATCATAATGCCCCATTTATTGTGTTTGTATAATACGTATACAGTATGTGCAAAAAATTCTATGATGAAAATTGTTGATTTTTCGTTCACTGCACAAGCTTGTATAATGTAAAAAAGGCACAGACTGAATGAGTCACAAAAATCAAACAAATTGATTTTAAACTTAACATTTTTTTTTTAAAGTTCAATGCCAATTTTTCTGAAGGTAAAATATGGCATTGAGATAACCTTACTTCATCCAAATTGATCTTCATCATATGTGTATAGCACATTATTAAGCGTGGAAATACATTCCGAAATTTATTTTCGCGTTTGAATCCCACAAGATATTTTGACATCAATACAACGCTATGACCTTTGTCATGTTTTTACGTTCGATTTCACACATAACACAGGATCTCACATTGTAAAGAAAATGATTTCATGGAATGTTCATCGCATGAGTTGTATGAGCTCGCTAAAATTTGGGTAAATATCAATAAGAACAAATGTCAGCTGTTTTTATGTCGGGTCAGTAGTGGTGAACTTTAGCATCAGCTCAAAAAGTGGACTACATTACTATTTAGGTCAAAATCAAAGTTGAAGTTGTTTAGTGATCTTGTTTCAATGACATGTTGTGTCGTTACAATTTTAATATGTGCAGTTTGGCCAGGAATCTGATCAAAAGCTTATAATTTTAATGTGTATAGTTTGGATAGGAATCTGAATAAAAACTTATAATATTAGCATGTACAGTTTGCCCAGGAATCTGAATAAAATCTTACAATTTTAATGTGTACGGTTTGGACAGGAATCTGAATAAAAACTTACAATTCTAGCATGTGCAGTTTGGCCAGTAATCTGAATAAAAACTTACACTTTTAACTTGTATAGTTTAGCCAGTAATCTGAATAAAATTTACAATTTTAATGTTTATAGTTTGGCCAGGATAAATCTGAATAAATCTCATTAATTTAATTCTGAATTTCTTTCACAAATCCTCAATACCAATAGATCGCATACATACACTTGCATGGATTACACTATAATTAATTTCATTTTACCTAGACCATTCCAACATGGAGCCGATATGCTATCCACCGTGTCATGGTTTCTCAATGAATGCTCTGCAGACCATGAAGAAAGCATAGCAGCGCTAGCATTAGATTCTCTCCACGCTTTATGCAAATCAGAAGTAGTGGATATCCGAACCACATGGAATGCATTATCTCGCAAACTAAATAAAGACAAGCGGTAATTCTAAGTGATGAATCAGATAAAACTTGATATTTTGTTGTGGGCTGTGACAGAAAGATAAAATAAAATAAAAATGTACAAGTGAGCTGTCCAAGCAAAAAAGCTGGCAATTTCACTGTTGATAACGTCACAGTATAGCTCGAAATGCACTGTATATAACAATTACGTGAGTGTTCTTATCAAGAAATACTTTTCACAGTGAAATCAACAAAAATGCCAGTACCTTCATTCACTGATTCTAAGTTTCAGTGTATTATGTCATTTTTGCATCTGCTTTAATTGTGGCAATTATTTTTTTTTTTCTCCCAGGAAAGTGGTTAACAGGAAAGTGTGTAAACTATTTTCATTGGTACCTGTATTGAACGTTGAAACTGACGAGTATGAGGTATGTTGATACAAGCCATGCAATCATCTGGCCATGTACAGTTTCAGATTTAAAGGCTAAGTCACACACATGAATGCAGTGTTTGGATTGTATACATATTTATGAATAAATTATTTAAAGTGCACCAATCACCTTATTTGATGTTTTTATTCTCATGAATTAATCATTAGATTATGTAATGCTTTTGATATGATTAAAAAATGAATGGGAATCAACAAATAATTGTGAAAAATTGTCTTTATCTTTACTTTCAGGAATTTCGTGATGATATTGTTACTATCCTGTGGTCATATGCTAAGAGTTATGACCCGTCTATAAGTGGAGCTGCTTATAAGGCCCTGGCTAATTTTGATGAACAAGAGTTTAGATTGGATGATTTACCAGAAAATGTAAGTTATACTCATTGACCTCTGAATGATGTAAATATGGCAGTTTTTCCTGTTGTTCATGACCCAAAGGGTCAGATGTCATGTTAATATCCCCTGACCTCTAAAGGTCATAGAACATGTCAATTCTTTGTGACCCAAAATGTCAGATATCATGTTAATATCGCCCTGACCTCTAAACGTCACACATTTCAATTCTTTGCAACTCAAAAAGTCAGATATCATGTTAATAACCCCATGACCTCTAAAGGTCACACATGTCAATTGTTTGTGACCCAAAAGGTCAGATGTCATGGTAATATCCTCCTGACCTCTAAATGTCATATATCATGTTAGCCCTATGTACATGGCTGTTTTAGGGGTGGTATTTACATTGGGACTTGGTTGCATGCCAGCACAGCCATGTCAGTGGTTATTAAGGTTTTCCAAAACACCACATCATCAGACGTGGCATGGGAAATCCCTACCTTTCTTCACCAATAAATTGCATTGATCGTTTCTCAGACATTCGCTTTAATGATTGTCTATTTTGAAAAATATATGCTTTATTGTCAGATCTGCTACTGTCAACAATGCATAGCAGCCATCTTGACAGTACGCGACAGTAGAGCATTAGTTAAAGTAAAGTGAGGAACAAATTAATCCTAAAATAAACACATCAGAGTTTTTGAAAATGCCTGGATGGATGTTCACTGGGCTGTGTGGAGTACCGACAAGGTCCTAATGAAAACAAGAACCTCCATAATCACAGACCTGCACACACAGCTATCAAAGGAGTTGTCATTGCAATTTGTTGTGTCTCCAAAGGTCACAGGTACATCCTGGCATTTTTTCCTGCATAACCCAAAAATGTTCTGGCTATTTCACAATATAATGTCTGTGATATCCCAAAAATAATTCCCAAAATTGTTTTCGTGTTACTGGAGTACTTTACGTTCATTTGCTAGCTGAGTAAAGAAGTCAAGCTGAGGATAAAAGCCAATAGGAGAGAATATGAGGATGATAGGGATGAAGAGGAAGAATTGGAAGATCTTGATATCCCTGGAGAAAGTTATGTTAAATTGATGTGTCAAGTTCACCGTGATATACTGAAAAGTGAGTGTCATATCATAGCTCATGTACAGAATATATACCAGTAACCTTGATCGAAAATATTATGACAATGGAGCTTCTCGACACACTCAAAACCAAATTGGTATGATTATGATACCCTCCCCACTGAAACAATAGTAGTATTCATGCTACACATGTTTGCATATAAGATAGGCTCACGCACAAGCACAGGCTAAGGAATGGCCAAACTTGTTAATAATAATATACAAAAATCTTCAGTCATTTTAACTATGATTAATAGTACAGTAACTAAGAAGGTAAAACAATAACAAAGCAAATTCAGAAAGTGCAGATTGCAGAATACCAGGAAGGAAGTAGCTAGCACAGAGTCTCATCGTCAGTTAATTTTTCTTGAGAACAATCTCTCTATGTGTGTTCGCATTGATTTTTCTGAAATGGCTTGCCGAAATAAATATTTATGAATATAATTATAGTAAATCTTTCAAATGAATATTGAATCCAATGGCATTTTGGGGGCTTAGCCCGAGCTAAACATTCATGCGTGCTTTGTTGTGCTAAGGATCAGGACCGAGTTTTAAAAACGGGCCAGAATCAATCTGTACTTGGAATTTCTCAGCCAGTGGTAAGCATTCACGCACATTTTTTTTAGCATGGGCTAAAGTATTTGACTTCTTAGCCCGTGCAAAGTAGCTGTGCATGAACACTACTAGTAATATACAGCTTGATTTGTTACTTTGTGTAGTTAAATATGCTATCACAGCTTAATACACATCAATGGCCCTTGATCAAGATTAATTTCACAAAAGTCTTTCCTGGAAGTGATCAAATCTGTGACAATTGGTTTTGGATTCGTATTAAGCTTGTGGAACACTATAACCCTTAGAATGGACTGCTCTTACATTGGTGTTTGAACTCTTCAACCAATATTTTCTTTTTTTCCCAAGTTCACTCATCTCACCTAGGAGTGCATTATGGGTAAATATTGTTAGTTTTTAAAGTTTGCTATGAATTCATTCATGTATCTCTGTTAATATGTTATAGACTTTGAGATGTTCCTGACATCGCTAGTTGCACAGGAAATCAAAGCGATGCCACGAGGTATTCATCACTCAGCTATGAAGGGACAGAACAAAGCAGCCAATCAAAATCGAGCTGTCATTAGTATTCCTTCACTGATGGAAAAACAGTATGAGAAAAACAGGCTACCCAGCTTAAAGCAAGGGCTGGCTGGTAAGATTGCATTATGTTTAGATGTGGTACGAAAAATGATGATGAATTTACTTTCAGGAAATATGTCATTTTTTTTTTTTTAAACTGCGAAGTTGAATTTTATCACCTTTTATCGAATCAGCCTGCAGCATTTTTCAAATAATCCTGATTGAGACATGTCGGCATTGGAGAATTTTACCCATTTGGTTCTAAATTACCCCGAAAATTGACGAAAAAATACAAAAAAATGTGTAAAATTTTGGTGGGAAAAATTAAAACTTTCAAAAGGTTAATTTATGAATATATAAATAAAAAGTATACAAATGTTTATTTGTTATTTTTTTTTAGCTGCTCTATTGTTATGCTACGACCCAACATTGGATGTTGGCAGAGATGGAAAACCAGCAAGACGTCACCTTGTTAGCTTTGGACGTTCTTATCAACAGATGCTGAACGTCTTATTGAATGAGGTAAGTGTTAATGAATATGAATGTTTATTTCTTGATGATTTTCTGAAATGTATTTGTTTTATGTGTGACGCTGTGTATTTATAGGTTCCCGTTCAGCCTGCAGAATGGTTACGTACAATGTTGATGCCACAGACTTGGACATCGTTCATGCATGGGTTGTTTGCCGCAATGCTTGAGGTAAAAAAAGATTGCTTTCTCAGCATTTGAGTTTCGAGTTTGACCTGTGCTGTCATTTTGAATATTTTAACTAATTTATCAATATATCAATGAGAAATATAACTAGAACTCTTGCTCTATAGGACCATAAAACCATCACCAAAAATATTCATAATTTTCCCTCTAAAAAATTTGGCATTCCTAGGGTTAAACTTTCCTCAGAGCATCCTCTAAGTCGATATTGTGCACCGCTGATGTACTGTGGTACAACCATTTTTGTTTTTGTCTCATGTCATACATACATACCGACAACAAAGAAATCACTGACTATGCAAAAAACATTTTTAACTGCTTTAACCGCAGAGATATTACACTGAAAAAAACCACCAGCTGCCCCAAAATAATCACTCAATTTTACATTTCTTGTATTTTTTTTTACTTTTGTTCTGTTTTACTTATTGATCTAATTTTCTAATTGTGAATTTTAACAAAATCCAAGCAACATAGAACATTCTGTGATGTAGCTCCGCCCAAAGAATGCAGTTATAATATTTTCTTGCATAGTAGAATTTTTACAATCTTCCATATAGGGTAGAAGAGCTGAATTAGAGATGCAACAAAGCCACAAGCACACAGAGTATAGTGAGGAAGATTTGAAAATCAAACAGACGACAATATGGCTGTGGGTTCGTGATAAAATCACTGACCAACTCAAGTCTTCTGCTAAGTGAGTAAGAAAGAGGTTTTGTCACTTTTCTCGAAGGTGGTGAATATCGCCCTCTGGTGTTCATTTGTGAAATTACGTTTGTTTAGGTTTGATTCAAATAAAATTAATAATGTGACTGTTTGCGTATCGTGATTAGGCAAATCATGAATAAAAGTGATTTAAGATTTGAACAGGCGTCTTTCACAAAAAGTATCCCATTCTCTGATATTATTTGTTGGCATACATGAATAAAGACAGCACAAATTAAATTAATTAACAATGCAATCTGATAAATTTGAATTGCAAAACAGTATTTATTTAATGAAAAAACAAATGAATCAAATGCACATGTGCTTTGAATTTCTGGTGTGGACCATTAATTTTAGATTGCAAGTGTGGTGTTATACTCTCTTTTTTTTTCCAGCTTGTGATAAATACAGTGTATATGTCGAATTTCCATATGGAAAACTAAAATCGCATTCCCATATGTTTTTATGACAAAAATAAAAGCAAAAAATCTGTGTTCAAATGATACTGTTTTAGCTGAAGAAGATGATATATTAAAAATAGATATCTTGAGATAGTCACTGTAATTCCAGATAAAATGTCCAAATAAAATGTCCACTGGTTTTCCAGTGTCATTGTGAACATTTTCTGTTTACAGCATGTTATACAGTCACTAATAAAGTGTTTTTTTCCCTGTTTTTAGAGGCAACCCCACTACTCAATCTAACTCTGTAATGGCTCTGGCTGGATTGGCTGTTGTGATGGCCAAACATGCAGCTAGTATTGGTCAATCAGAGACTGATGCTGCACATAAACTAGCACCAGAACATACAAATCAGAGTCAGTGGTTGGCCATGGTTACAGATACTTTGATAACTGTACTTGATGGAAATGTTGCACCAAAGGGACGAGTTTTTATCATGTGTCAACAGGTGAGTGTATAAATTTGTGTTGTCGTAAATTTTTATGACCTTTCACCCACCTACAAGTGGAAGTTCACTTACATCACTTGTATCAATTGTGAATAAATAAAGACACGTTGTGGCATTGGCAAACAAATTATCATCAAAACAAAATTCCTGTGTACCAATAGGTGATTTTCTGCTCAACTGCGAGATGTCACGAGTTGTGTGAAAGACACACGCCAAACATCAGCCACAAAAATCAAATGATTTCATTTTAAACTCGAAATTCTTTATTTCGTAGCTCACATCGAAAGGCCAATCTTTGACAGGGGAATATTGTGTTTGAAGACGCTCACTTCATTGTAATTGACCATCATCAAATGTGTACAGCACATGGAAATATCCCCCAAAATACTTTCACGTTTGTCATATGTTTGTCGCGACTATGACACTATGACCCTTGTTTGTTCTGTTTTTACATTCGATTTCAAGCATAACGCGGGATCTCGCAGTGAGCAGAAAATGATCTATTGCAAATCATTTTATTTCATTTACCCAAAACAAATAATGTTTCCATTCATTGATACAAAAGAGAATTTTGATCTCTAATAGAAGCGCTCTAATTATTGCATTTATTTACTATGTGCTAGACATACATCTCTGTACTTAAATCCATGCACTACTAATAGAACAAATACCATATATGCTTATGTAAATCACTAAAGTGTTTTTTTATTGTTTATTTCTTTTTAATGATTCAGCATACATAAATACATGAGCAAATATGGTATACTGTATTTTCTCTATTAGTGGAGAATAAGCTTATATGTAAATTACAAACTATTTCTATGGTCAAAATTAATAATATTTTAAGAATATAGTGATGTGCTTTTAATAAAGCAAATACAGTTATTATACAAAATTCAGTCGATATTAGTTTTTAAAAATAATCTGTTTCATTTAAAAAATTAAGATTACCCTAATTGCTTTTGCTTGTAAAAGTTATCATTCAATCACAGTGTGCGGGTTTTGGGCTTATAATTTCTCTGAAATAATAGATTTAGGCGTTCTATGTACCGATACTTCTGAAAATATCAGATTCATTTTTTCTGTGTTTAATGCCTGTAGCAGAATTGGAGATCAGGATAATGAGACCTTTCTGGAAAGCAATGGATTTCTTTAAGACATCTTACACTCCTATTTCCTTTCTTCACTCTAGAGATCCAGTCGTAATACCATGACGTCAAGTCTTCTAGCAAGAGCTGGAGCTGCGGTCGCTTTGTCCCAGATTGCTCCCTGGCTGGTTACTATGGATACTGAAAGAGTCTATCAGATGATGGATGTATTATCGGCTGGGTTGCCGGGACAGTCGTCTGCGGATGATTCACCAGTGTTTCAGTTTCACTGTGGTTTAGGTTTAGGGATGTTGCTGAGTCAGCTTAATGCCGAACACTTCAGTGAAGTGACAGGAAACGAGGTATTCCTATCAAATGAGTTTTCCCTATATGTATTTACATTTTCATGGTAATTCGCTATGACAACTTGCACATAAGATTCTCACACAGGTCAAATAATTATTTCAAAGCAAATCATATTTCTATAGCATCTTTCACAAATAACGTCATGTGATTAATATTTTATGAAGATGTTCAATTTGGACAAACGAACAAGTAAACAGAAATTATAAGAGTGACAAGTGTATTCTGCCGTGGAAAGATTTTTGGAGTTGAAATGATTTATCAAGGTCAATAAACGTTCTTGGGATTTAATACACTTCAGGATTAACACTGAAAAGCCTTAGTGAAGTAACATCGTTGGAGATGAAATTGTTTTTATCAGCTGAGCACATTGTCATTACTTCATGTCTTTTATGCTCTGAGCAAAGTACTATGGTTACATTAGTTTTATTTTTAGTAAAATTTTGACATTGTGACAGTGCTATTCATGAACGAAATTGAACACTGTGTTTAACAGATGGTAGTTTTTCTAAATATAAACGATTGTCATCTTCAAATTGTTATTATTCTGTCATTCAGAATATTTTAATTCAGTCTGAGTGTTAAATCAAAAGTCACATTTTAAATTATCACTTTTTTTTTTTTACCTCAGTATAGCCAAAAACAATAACAACATGGAAATAAAAAAATGTTGGGTACAACATTTTTATGTCTAAATCAAACACCAAAATGGCCAAAAATGTATTTAGTTATTTGTGTACTGAGGTGTTTTTACCTCCTGTGTGTGCATTTGGGTAATACACAGACATAATATGTCTGTGCATATTAAGTAGCTAATTTGCATACTATCTCATTACAGTCTGTCTATAAAGCAAAATCTTGTAAACTTCAGAACGAATTTTAATGAAATTTGTTATTCATTGGTGCTGAACCTCTGTGGGTTAATGATCCTAACCTGTAATATGCCATTGCTTTTTTTACTTACTGTTGGGAATTTTAATTTCCTAGATATGAATTTATAAAACAACAATGAATGCATATTTTGTATTTACATGGGAGTTTTACAGACTTTTACTTTGATTTTTATAGTACAATTGTTTTCAGTTTGGACTGATTTCCAGAGTTTGGTTTATACCATTTTACTGTATATTTGTATTGCATCTAATGTCTTGATGTATTTCTTATGTCAGGGCACCATGGCAACCATGAAGGCTCTAGATAATCTAGAGAAATGTAGCTTAGATGCTGGAATGGAGAATGTTAACGGCTGTAGATTGGGTCTTGGATTAGCTTTATCCTCAATGTGTGGCCTCGGCAACATAGAAAATCGGGTACACGTCACTTCCATCCATTCTAAGTTATTAGCAGCTTTAGATGGGTTGGATGACACACAGAAATCAGGAACAACATTGCAGGTAATCGCAGCTTCATTTGCATACTGATTTTGCAAACCATTTGTATTTACTGTTAAATCATTTATTTTCTCTGTTTTTTTAATTTCACTATTTTCATATTTGTTCATATTTACTGGGTTTTAATTTCGCAGAACTTTCTAGTGAAACGATGATGGAGTTATATTGTTGGATTTCACTTATCAGCATTACAATTAATCAAAATTAGATTAAATCAAAAGCCATTGACCAGTTTATATGACATCATAGTATATATCACCCCGGTGTGGTACAGCAATTAGCGTGTTTGTCCTGTACAAGTGGGGCTGTTAGTTTAATACTGGTAGCGGACTGATAACCCATCAGTGTGTATATTCTGACTGGACACATTAGTTTGAGATTGTGAGAATGGCTTTTGATAAGGCCAAAAAAAAAAAGTTGCTACTTATCTCAGGGGAAAAGTGATGTGGTAGCACAGTTTTAATTTTTTTAGTCAGCGTTTGGCATCATCCTGGTACTTGGAGTGAACAAATATTTAACAGAAAGATAATAGCCCAATGCAGATGCTGTTCTAGTGCCTTGTCTCTGGCATACATTCAAACTTTATAACTTTGTAATAAATGATGCATTAAATTTTATTTCATGTCAAGACATGACTTGTTTTAGATTATTCAATACCATGGCAAATCATAAATGTTTAATGTTTAACATTTATTAAATGATGCCAATGCATTTATTTAATGTTGATTTGGATCTAAAAGACAAAATTTTCTCATTCTATCATAGAAGAAGCAAAACCTTTTATTTTGGGGCTAATAATATTGTGATTCACATAAGACCCCCCCCCCCTCCCCGCCCTGAATATTCATTTTTCTGAGTTTTTTTTTTCAAGGCTGCCCTCTTGTGTCAGGAAAAATTGTTTTACAGGGCATCAGCTGTCTCATGTGCTAGTCGAGATGAAGAGTTTAATAAGGTCGCCTCATTTTTTTTTCAAATCTCAATTTAAAAAAGCTGTCAGACAGGATCGGATTTCAGATGCAGAGTGAATATAACAGATACCTTGTCATAATAATGCCGGGTATAATCTGATGAACCCTTACAAAGATCAGTCAGTAATTGCGTCTCAGTGTTTTTTTTCCCACTATTTCAAGTGTACAGTAATCTCTTTTGAGTCTGAAATAATTTTGCATAATTTAAACGAAAAAATGTGTATATACCCCTTCCAATTTAAATAATGATCAGTAAAAGTACATGGAAATTATTTGTATTTTTTGTGATCATAGTTGTTGCCTTTTTTTTATTTGTGTTTTGTGCATGTGTTTTGTTGCAGATGTTATGCATGTCATTGGCCTGTTTAACAGCATCTGCCTACAGTAGTGGGTTTGTTTCCTCCGATGTTAGCATTGTAGTTTTAGAGAAGATCACTGCCTATTGTAAGGAATACCCACAGGTATTGTTGCTTGTTTTGAACCCATGAGTAAATTTAATTTCAGAACTTATTAGTGATATTTAGCTTAGTTTATTTAGCCATATAAATTATCCATTTTGAATCAAAACGATATTTAGATTAACTAACCATTTCTTCAGTTCAAACCATGATGATATTTAGCTGAATCATGGTGATATTCTAAGTATATTTTCAGTTCAGTCAAGTACATTCAGTAAAGTTATATTTCTCAGCTTTCTATGATTATTTGATTAGGTGCCTGGTCTTAAATTTGCCCTGGGTGTCCTATGCAATGGTTTGAGTGTCGCTGGACATGGTGGCAGTAATGATATCATTAACAAAATATTCACTGAATGGATGGAAAGAATCAGTAAACAGGTTAGTGTCAGTGTCTACCTGAAAAGTACTTTCACCTCTAAATGTGAATATGAATATATTTGTTGACTGATATTTTTTCTAATTTGAGTCACTGTGCGTGGCATGAACATCTGTCTGCATTATTGGTACATTGTTACAGCCCAGTCCATACTTCAAATAATGGTCTTCGATTGTTTATAAGGAAATCTGGAATTCAAAAATGTATCTGCATATACTAACATGTGTTCAATTATGGAGATGTCTGTAAACACTGCTGCCTATTAAAAACTCCCACAAATAACCGAAATGTATGGGGAAAAATAACACTACCAGGCAATGATCAATGATCTCACTTACAATTCTTTGAGAATCACACAAATCTAATGAAAAAAAAAGAATTAATTTTATTTTTTTTCGCCCTCCTCAAAAAAATTGCCTTTTATAAAAACTTGAGAAACAAGGAATAAAAAAAGTCTGTTCTAAAGTACTATAATAATAGTTACTATTATGTGAGCAATGTTTATGTTATGAACTGTGTATAGAGTGTAATGCTGTAAAGACGATGCAGAAGAGCATTACTGTGGAATACTTTATTTTCGCTGGAATTAATTTTCACTGAAAAGGTCTTTTTGGGTGTTTTGTATAGAATTTATTTTCACTGATTTCTGATGAGTTTAATGTGAAATATAGGAAAAAATCATCCCTTCAGCGAAAATAGCGAAAATATATTCCAAGCGAAAATAAAGTATTCTACAGTAATTGATATGTAGAATGTGAACATGTGCATTTCAGGCTACAGTCGATCAATCTGCTTTAATGATTGACACAGTTTAATACAAAAAATTGACTAAAATTTGAAAATGCTAACAAATTATGATTTTTCAATAAGCAAAACGTTTCATCAAATTTATAACAAAGATGAGCTCAAAAATGAGGGCACTCAAAATTGTTTTCATAACATTTTTCTAAATCCAATCAAACATTGCATGTGATGAGTTCAAGGATACAAGATTCAATTTCATTTATTTTCATCCATTCCATATTTTGAATACTTCATTGCACATTTATTCTATAATTAAAAGCTTGATAACTTGTGGAGTCAACTGACAATTGACATATGTTTAGTGCATTATGTACATTTAATAACTAATGTGATGTTCGCTATATACATTACAACTAGGGCATTATGGGTATGAAAAATAAACATGGCTGTTCATATTTTTGTTGATGTGCGACAGCGAGGAACTGGATCAGTCTTTATTATTAAAACCCCAGTAGATTTATAGTTAAAGTAAAAAGTGTTTTTATCACTCTTTTACTGATTGTCTCTTTCTTGTTATGTTCAGCATGGATGTCCATCTTTGGAGCAAAGTGCAATCCTCAGTGGGCTAGCATCTCTGGTTTCTATGGATACAACATTTATACGCACAGATGGTGAATTGACCATGACTCCGGAGACGCAGATAAGACAGAATCAGTTAGTGAAGTTACTCACACAGGTAAAATGCATCGTAGTATGTTATTTGCAAGCAAACTGTTATATAGATAATTTGTTATCACTGTTGTAATTTGTGTTTAAATGATTTTGGTTAATAGAATAATTCAGTCCATTTAATGAGTTTTGTCATAACAAGATTAGAATTATTTCGAAAATGCGTAAAGAGCAATTGTTTTTATTATAAATAATTTAAACACCATCATTTTTCACATCAACATCATCAACATAAATATGTGCAAATTGAACATATTTATGTATTTTTATGTAATTATTCTTTTATGTTGGAGAAAATGTTTGGAAAGATTCTTCACCATTGCCAGATACTATAGTAACTTGAAAAGTTGTGGATGAATTTTTCTATGAAATTATTAGGAGAGATTCCCCTCGAGACAAGGACCAATTGATTTTGTGAGATATCTGAATCCGGTTGCCATGCAGACAGGAATTTTAGGGAAAGATTCTTCACCATTGCTAGATAGGCAGGTTTATTTAGTGAAAGGTGATATTCCAATGAATGTCAATCAAGTACTAATCTAGTGAATTATTGATGTGACAGTTTCTTAGAGTTAGAACTATTAAATAAATCAAGAAAACAATTTTATGCATATCACATCAATATTTTACTTTGATGATATCAGCAAGCGATCATCTCATTTTATTTTACTCGCTTTGTTGAATAGAATTGCATATGATTGCTTAACTATT